TATACATACATACACATACACATATACATACATACACACCTTGGTCATCCCATGTAGAGTGTCAGGGAGATGATCTTGAGGGAAACTGGCAAGAACCATTACATAAACAGGTTGCTAAAACATTCCTTAAGTCCTGGGAAGCAAAGTAGTATTTGGAAGAGACTCAGACAGGCTCCTCCCTGATTCACTGTGTGATAAGGGAGAGGGAAGGTAAAGCACAATCACGCATGCATGTCTGATGTAAGCCCTACCATGTAGACCACATCAGGAAACCAACTCTAGAGGAAGACTAGAACTGTGCTTTAGAAATGGGCTATACTAACAGAATCTTACAACAGGGGTAAGTTTAAATGAGATCCTTAGGGCATATTTTCCAGATGTTTTTATATGACTAGTTGAAGGTTTCTTGGATTTAAATATAACTTTACTTTTAATTACTTGTACTTAATTAGTTTATGAGTTAAGCATCCATGACAAAAGGAAGCAGAGTGATATTTGCAGCTCTAAACAATGGAAACATATAATTGAGCTTCATAACTATAACCTCTAAATCTCATTAACTTGATTAGCAGCTTGATCAACTGCACAGAGTAGTAGCTTGTTCTATAACTCTCAGATAACTTCTTTGTAATTTTATGTCTTATGACAAAAAAAAAAAATCCTTCCAGTAAATAGCCATCTTTCTGTTCTAAAAAATATCTGTGCATTAATAAGGCAACTAGTTTCAATCATACAATTACAGGAAATATATTGCAGATGTTTCTGTTGGGGAAGTCAGATTTGCCTACAGGCTTCAGGAAGTGTAAAGCAGCAGAGAAAGAGAGAGAGTTTTGATACTGTCTTTCATTACTACTAATCACAAAGACTTCAAAAATAAAGCATCAATAACAGTACTGAGATTTGACATGAGATACCTTGTAAGTGCTAAAACCATCACTGTACATGGTATGTGAAACAGCTGAAAAAGACCACCTCTTTTAACCCCCTTGAAGGTCAGTTTACCCCTTTTGAGTGTTCTCTACAATACATAAATTGATCCATTTAAATACAGCATGGCATAAGAACAAAGCAAAACTATATGCAAGATATCTTATAATACAATACAGAAGACACATTGCAGGCTATTTGCAACTGATGTTCCTGATTTTTAATAAAATGTGTGGTGATTGTAGATGTATTAAATAAGAATGTAATCGTGTCTTTATCCTGAGCCTATCTGCTCTTTATTTAACCTATCATGTGCAGTCATGGTTTCTTGACTAAGTTGGCTGGTTCACACAATTCAGACTTTATTGGTTTTTATGTTGTGCATTGCTTAATTTTAATTGATGTAATGGTTACATTTGGGTCATGTCATGTGATCAAATTTCTTAGAAAAATAATTTATGCTAGGAATGATTGGAGGTGCTAGAAAAGACGACTGACCAAGAACATGCTGAATTGATATCATTGAGCAAGATACTGGTTTAAATTAGAAACATAAAATGAAGTTGTAAAACATCAGAAAGAATTGAGAATGGAGAAAGGAGAAAACTAATCTATAAAGTCTCTGAATGTCAGATGTGACTAAACACATGAAGAGAAAGAGAGAAAGACTGCTAATAGATTTTATAGGGCCCAGTTTTTAATTATTTCTATTGTAAAGGGATCACCTTGTTGGTATTCCACTACCCCCTTAGAGTTGCCTAGGTTTTTAATCTCTCTACTTTGTATTTTTGCATACTCTAATGTATTTCTTTATCACTCTTCCATGCTTAGTTTTTAAACACAACATAAGATAAATAATATCAATATAACACACCAAGCCATAAACCAAACTTTTAGTGACTGGGGTCACATTTGACTTATTTTTCCTAAAGAGAAATGGCTATTGTAGTAGAGCAATGATAGGTAAGGCTGTGTCACAGAACATATGCAAAATCTGGAATTCCTTTGCCCCCTTTTTAGTGGGGGACAGGATGGAGTCTTAGATAAAAAAAACTAGGTTAAGCCTATTTTAGGGCTTACATAACAGTTTGGGTATTCAGTCCCTTAGTTCTATCATATCTAACCCCTGACCAGATTAGCTGGTTGTATTGTACATTGGATTCTAAAAAGAACATCTTCCCATTGTTATATTTTATCTAGCCTGTTACCTGTTATACCCCAACTTCTTCCATTTTTAGCCAATGATTTCAAAGTTCTAAAAGCTCTTTTAAACATCTGGCTGCAAACCTCAATTCACAAGCCTTTTTTAATGAAATTTGGAAACTTCCCATATATATTCTTCATAGCTGAAATATCTCTTTTGTTCTTTGGTCCATGATTAAAGTTTGTTCTTCCTGATTGTTTATTTAATCACATTGTACAGAAATTAAGGGAATAAAATGACAAACACACTTCTAATTAAATTTATGCTTCTTTTAAGTTTTTGCAGAAAAATTGTATTAAAGTTAAAAGATAATTATATTTTTTTAAAAAAAATCAGCTTAAACAGTACCATAACTGCATATTATCCAATATATTTGTCCTTTTAATTTGAAGCCTAGAAGCATGTTCCTGAGATAATTTAATGAGTGATGTTTCTCAAATATAAATGTATGACATTGCAAATGTTTTGAATTTAAAAAGCTTTTAAGCCAATATATACAACAATTCCAATATTTTTAGAGACCAAATATTTTGATGAACTGGCTGGTAAGGAAGGAATTCAGAAAAAAAATATACCAAGAGACATGACTCTAACAGTTTAAAATCAAACCTCTTATTGCTAGAAAAAGCTACTTTATATGCTTCTTTTGAAAGCATGTAATCAATTCATTTCCAAGTAAGTATTATCATTTAAGCAAAGTACTTGAAAAAGCCTTTATTTGCAACAAAAACAGTATTAAATCCAGATTTAGACTGAGTCATGTATCAATAGAGGTGAGTCATGTACCATACTAGCCATAGCTTGTTTTGAACATGGCTTGTTAAACAAGCCATTCTGGTCTGATTCACCCATAATGCTAAGCTAAAACTAAACCATATAATGGCTTAGTGTGGTGTGTGAACCCAGCTTTAGAATAGACATCCTTCACTAAGTAGGAGTTGAGTTCATGCTGAATTTTATTTTTCTAAATACTGTTTTTTTTTATAAATACTGCTAACTTGGGATCCAGCTTTCTCTAGTACCAATATCTTCATATAATTAAATTCTTCAAAATTATTTAGATGACCTTCCTGTGTTCACTATATTTACTAGTTTTTTACATGAGATGCACTGCCAAGGTGTTCTACAAGAACATATCTATACTGAATTCCTATATTCACTATTTTGGTGAAACTTTGCATATGTTTCAAAAATATCCTCTGATTTATCTCAGTTTAAAAAGAATTGCATCATTGGTTAGAAAAATGTTTTATTATGAAAATAAATACAGCTGAAAATAGGCTCTCCTCAAAATTAAGATTGTTGTAAACTGCCTTAGAATTGACAATGAAGATATTGAAGTAGTAGATGGTTTACTATTAATCAACCATTAACAGTAAAAATACAAGGAGTCAATACACCACAGACTAGCACTTGGTAGAGTAGCCATGAAGGCCTTGGAAAAGATATTCAGATGCTGTGAGGTGTCTATACTTCCAAAGATCAGAACAGTATGTGGCATATGGGTTTTAGTGGCATGGCATGCCATGGCTACTGTTCTGCTGGCAGGAGTCAGCAAATAGAGAGAGCAAAAGGGGAGAAGGTGCTCAATTCTGGCCTTGAAGGGCAGCTGTGCTGTCACAAGGGCTGATGAGGTGATGTGGCTGCTAACTAGGATTGTTGTGGGGAGATGTAGAGACAGGAGTCCCATTGGTCCAGCCTGGTATATATGTGTTGGGACTAGAGGCCTGGAGGGGGGACACCTACCACCTCAGTTGCTGGTGGACATGCTACCAGTCTGATCCAAAATTGGAGAGAGAGACTAAATGACTTAAAATCAACAAAGTTTGCAAAAAGGGAGCCACGAGGGGGCACAGAATATTTTTCTGCCAAATGGTGGAGAACCAAACAATGGTCTAATGTTGATTGTTCCTCTCTAAATCTGGCCTGTTCTTCAGCAATGATATTTTCATGTTGTAACCAATCCACAAATTTTAGATATAAAAATCTGGCATAAAGCTTATTTATTGTGTTGAATAAACTAACAGGCCTATAATTTGTAGAGTCAAGTCTATTTCCTTTATTTTTGTATAACAGTACAATAATGGCCTGATTCCAATCAGACAGAAATTGTCCAGTGTTGTTAATGTGTGTGAATAAGGTGGCCAAAACTGGGCTCACCAATCTTTGTTTTCCCTAATTGATTCTGGGGGGATAAAATCGCCTCCAGATGCTTTACCTGGTTTTAACTGGGCAATAAGATCTTCAACCTCAGCTATGGACACTGCCAGCCAATCTGGGCAGTCACTAGAAATCACATCTGAGAATACAGCATATTCACTTTTAAAGATGTTACAGAAGTGATCCTCCCATTTATCTGTGGATATTTGTGGGATAGGACCAAAATGTCTATCTGTAAGGGACTGATTTATTAAATGCCAGAACCAAGTAGAGTTCTTAAGTTTTGCTGCTGAAATTAAATTTCTCCAATTCTCTCTCATAGCTTGTTTCTTTATCTTCAATAGATCTTTTATATATATATAAAATGTATATCTGTGTGTATGTATATATGTGTATGTGTGTGTGTGTATAATTTATATATATAAATTTTAAGTAATTTAGAAGTACTCAAAGAATTTTCCTGGCAAAAGGAAGTTATTGCACTTAAGAAAGCCTTTTTAACCTTAATGCAGTCATTATCATACCACGATTTGGACTTTTTATATGCATAAACACTGTTAGCTGTTGAAAATCTTATCAGGCGGATTTGGAGATTAACAATAATCTGATACAGTGACACTATTTGTTCATATACTGAAAATCAACTGAGCAAATGTGGGTATGCATTTGAAGCAGGGGCTCTGAGGTCAAAAGCCCAGATATTAGTCAGATCTCAAGATCATTTGTTCTGTACTTGCCCCTTTGTTGTACTATCAATGGAGCAGTGAGCTACTGATAGTGATTCAAGATTTGTTTTAGAATCAAAAAGACAAATTATGGGAAGTGGTCACTATCAGGGTGAGTTCCAATATAGAAGTAAGCTACATGATATACAAAGTTCTGGGAAATCATAATATAATGAACCACACTGGCCCCATTAGGGCACCAGAATGCAAACTCCCCTTTGATGTCAACCCTGATAGTGCTATTAAGTGTAACTAAATCTAAACTGTCTACGGATTGAGCCAAACCGAATTCTGCAATATTACAGTGTTGGTCTTTAGATTGTCTGGCCA